TTGTTTCATCTCAATGACTGCACTCTCCCCCAGGCAGCAGCAGTGACCCCACTTCCTCCTGTGGTTCCTATTTCCATTCCACCCACCTTCCCATCTCTTCTCAACTGTGTCTTTGGGTAAACGTTGCCCTTTTGATCTTGAATGGTGACCATCCCATGGTGAGCAGACTTTGCTAGTGTTGCTTTCCCCTATATAACTATTTACTGCTTAGCTGAAAACTGGGCCATGAGGGTGAGTTCCTTTCCGGACCTGAATAATGGTCAACGGTTAAAAGTCTTGGGTTCCTTTAGTCTCTTTCTGACCAATAAGCCTGGTCATTTAAAAAAAAAATAATTTTGAGCTTTACTCCACATTTTCTCTCACTCTAATTTGATCCCTTTCAGGGCAGTTGGTAGTGGTTGCTGGTCACCATCTAGTTCCTCTGGTCTCATGGTCATGGAGACTGATGTTCACCTGTTCTCTTGGTCCATTTTACTAATTGATTCCATGCATCTTCAATTCTCATCACTCTTCTTTCTTCCATACATGAAGAGACTTCTTTCTTCCATACATGTTGTACCTTAGATGGCTAGTCAGATACATAAGATCTTCATTGACTAATTTTCAGAAGTAGATTGCAAGGCCTTTTAAGGGTCACCTTACAGTGAGCCCATGTGACGGAGTAGAACTACCCCATAGTGATTTCTTGACTGTGATTTTTACAGGAGTACAGTACCGGGCCTTTCTCCTTTGGTTGGTGTTGTTAAGGGCTGTAGTTTGTTCTGACCCTGTATAGGGTTTCTGAGGAGCAGCTGGTGGATTTGAGCTGCTGACCTTGTGGTTATAGGTCTGGTGCTTATCCTACAGTGCTTCACCACGGTGGGTTCAAACTGCCAACATTTCAATTTGTAATTGAGTGCTGGACCATTGCTCCCCTAGGGCTCCTTTCTTAAACTGGGATTATTTAAATGAGGCTCTGAGAATCGGGTAACTGGATGAACAAGGCAAAGTGTTTGGTTCCTGTGATTAATTGAAGGAGCCCTGGTGGCACAGTGGTTAAGTGTTCAGCTGCTAACCAAAAGGTTGGTGGTTCTAACCTACCATCTGCTCTGCAGAAGAAAGACTAAGCAGTGTGTTTCTGTAAAGATTTAAAGTCTTTATGGGAGGAAGAGGAGGCAGTCTGCTTCTGTAAAGATTGTAAGCCTAGGGAGCAGTTCTGCTCTGTGCTGTAGGGTCACTATTGGTTAGAATTGATTAGAAAGCAGTTAGTTTGAGTTTGTTGTTGTTGTTGTTAAGTGCCGTCGAGTCGGTTCCGACTCACAGTGAACCTGTATAGGGTTTCTGAGAAGGGGCTGGTGAGCTTGATTCATTGACCTTGCAGTTCAAACCAATCTTGCAGTCCAGTGCATGAACCCAGCTCTAGATCAATGAGTCTAAACTCTGGCTGCACATTGGAACCCACTGAGGCACTTTTAAATATTAAGATGGTCTTCCTGAGAATGATCAGAGGGGCAGCTTCAGGTATAGGTAATTTATCAAAGGTTTTTAGGTGATGTCCCATGGACAGGTCGGGTTGAAACCTGCTAGCTAATTGTTGTAATGAGGCAGTGAGGGTTCATTATTACCAAAATGTCAGA